GGCTCCTTAGCTGTGATGTAACATGAGAAGTTATTAACAGAGGAAATAACTGTAAGGTTTATAGAAACTGCAGTTTTTCTGTAAATCTAAAGCTGGTCAAAAATAAAGATTTTTTTTTTGTATACACTGGCCCCATAGGTCAGTACGCAGGCACTATAAAGAGGAAGCAGATTTCATACGGCTGGCCAGAGTTTGCGTCCTGGCCCCATACGCTTTTAGAAAGTCTTTCTCTCCCCCTCCCTTCCTCCGTTTCTCTCTCGCCCTCTCTCTGATGCACATGCATGACAAAAGTAAATTATCTTATTTTATTTTATTTTTCAAACCACCAGGTCTGGGATTCAAACGACACAGTCAGTCATGTGGGATCCACCTGCCTTAACCACCAAGCCATGGGGTGACCATAAACCTTTTTTCAATTATTTATTTAAGTTTATTAATTTTTTTTTTAATTTGGCCAGAGAGAGGAATATTGAGAAAGCCAGCTGCTGGGTCCAGGACCTGAATCGCAGTCAGCCATGTCAGGGTCCAGTGCTACATGCCACCTGCTGGCCCCATCATTTTTTTAAATTGAAGTAGAAAGGAAAAAAAAATGAGTGAGGAAAGGTAAAAGAAAAACTTAAAAGCCTCTCTTTCCAATATAGTCTTCAGTCTAAGAGACCTTTAAAGAGATAATATCTGAATAAACTGAATTAAGAAAAGAGATCACTAGGCCGGCCGATAGCACAGAGCTTAATACACTGGATCCCACAGGGCTGACTGTCCCAGTGATGCCAGGCATGCACATGCCCCAAATCCCAAGAGAAGAATAGAAAAGGGATCGCAGCATGGCCAACCCCAGTGTGGGAGGGTGATTTCTCATCTTTCCCTTTCTCTCTCTCTCTCTTCCCCCCACTCCCCACAAGCACACATACCCTACAGCAAAACCACAAGAAAAAGAGCTCCTATTGCCAGAAAGAAAATGAGAAAATAAAACCTGTCAATATCCCCAGGAAAAAAAATTATTTTGTGCTCTTGCAACTGAGAAGAAAAGGACAGATACGTTTTTATATGAATATGGGTTATCAGTATTTCCTCTGACCCCTTGAGACTCTAAGACACAGCCCAAGGATCAGCTTCAGCAAAGCGTTTCCTGCATCCCCAGTAATAATCAGCTCTGGGGCCTGGACCCTGGCCCCTCTTAGCTCCCGCAACCTGGGTTGTTTTTCATCTGTTTTCTATACTCCCCATCCATGCCCTGGTGGGCCCCTCCCTCTCAGAGACTCATCCACCTGTAAATCAACAGCCTTTATACCCACCACTGGGTGCTTAATAAATGCTCATGGAATGACCTCGAGCTGAACACACCTGCTCCTACAGATTGTAGCTAGAGGGGATGAGAATGACATCAAGTTCAAGTCCCAGGCCAGATGCTTCCTGTGGGTAAAACAGGGCTCTTTGCCATGGGGAAGAGTCCAGGTTCACACCCAGAGACCTTCCTGAGCATGCTGGGCACGTGTGCCCACAATCCGGGGCTAGCCGAGGGTGGATTATGGCATCAAGCCCCAGTTAAGGGTGTTGTCCCTCTGTCTCTTTCTCTTACAAACAAAATAAACTTTAAAGAAATGTTTTTAATTAAAGTCCCAAGTCTTCCAGGATGAGACAGAAACCAAGTGTGTACTTGCTAGGGGCGTGAAGAAGGGATGGAGGGGCCAGCAGATGATGTAATGGTTACATCACTGGACTCCCATGTAGTTAACCACGGTTCCAGTCCCAGACCTAACGACTTAAAACTCACACCGGGCACATGTGCGTGCATGCCCAAAACCCTGAGAGGAGACTGGAGAAGGGACTGAGGCATGGCCATACCTCCCGGGGGGGTGACTTCTCACTTTCTGTCTCTCTGTCTCTCTCTGTCCTTCCAGCGAGCACACGGGCCCTAGAGCAAAAATCTCTCCAAAAAGGGCGTGAAGAAGGGATGGAGGGGCCAGCAGATGATGTAATGGTTACATCACTGGACTCCCATGTAGTTAACCACGGTTCCAGTCCAGACCTAACGACTTAAAACTCACACCGGGCACATGTGCGTGCATGCCCAAAACCCTGAGAGGAGACTGGAGAAGGGACTGAGGCATGGCCATACCTCCCGGGGGGGTGACTTCTCACTTTCTGTCTCTCTGTCTCTCTCTGTCCTTCCAGCGAGCACACGGGCCCTAGAGCAAAAATCTCTCCAAAAAAAAGAAGGAGGAGGAAGAGTAGGAGGAGGGATGGGATGGGAACAGGAACAAACACTTATCAAGACCTGTAACCCCTGAAAAAATTTAGCCCTTATGTATTCCAGTGGCCTCATTTTACAAAGAGAAACTGAAGCTGAGAGAGATTCAGTGACTTGTTCAAGGGCATGCAGCTGGGCAGTGCTACAGCTAAATACTGTGTCTGAAATTGACAGTTATTTAATAACTAATAATAAAAGCCACTATCTACTCAGCAACTACAGTGCCAAGCGCATGCAAAGAATCCCCCACATTATGCCCATATTGGGACTAAGGAAAACAAAATCAGGGGGAAAAAAGTGTCTTGGCTGTCACACTCCAAAGTCCCCCTCAACTGTTAAAACACTGAAACCCAATCCCTGGCCCAAGGCGGATCTTTATCACCTGAGCTGTTAAACACACCAACTGTCTCTTGCACCAAGCACTGACAGACTGTTACTCCTCACCAAACCCTACGATGTCCGTTCTCCCAGCATGCCCATTTTACAGATGAAGAAACTGAAGTTTCAGGCTCTCTTCTCCAAGCAGCAAGAGGCAAACCTTGTCATAATATCAGAATGGCAAAGTTTTTTTCTGCCATTTCTTACAAAACTAAACATGCCATCACCACTCAACCCAGCAACTGCACTCTTGGGCATTTTGAGAAACAAAAATAAAAGTCCACACAAAAACCTGTACATGAATGTTTACAGCAGTTTATTTGTAAATCACCAAAACCTACAGCAACCCAGAGGGCTTCTGACAAATAACTGGGGTAAATGCTTCATCATGGTTAAACTGGGATGCACACATGCCATGGATGACTTCTCAGCAATAAGAAGAAAAACACTATTAACACAATACACACAACGACCTGGACGAAACTCCAAGGAATTATGCTCAGTGAAAGAAGCCTTGTGATAAACTGCTCCATGCCTTGTGGTGGTAGCTATACAAGTCAACATGTGATAAACCATACAGAACCACCCAGACACACACAGAAAACGAAGGACTCTGGGGACCAGCAGTTAGTGTAATGGCTATGTCACTGGACTCCCATGTAGTCGACCGCAGTTCAAGTCCTGGACCCAGTGGCCTAAACTCACGCCAGGCATGTGTGCGTGCATGCCCAAGATCCTGAGAGGAGAATGGAGAAGGGATTGCAGCATGGCCATCCCCCTGGTGGGCGATTTCTCGCTTTCTGTCTCTCAGTCTCTCTTTGCCTGTCTGGCGAGCGCACGCGCCCTATAGCTAAAAACCTCTCCAAAAAAAAATCAAAAAAGAGGGACTCTGATCAGTAGGCCATATTAATATATATTAGTTGTGACACCATTTTACTGTTTTTGCAAAATTCTAAATGAATTGTGACACTTCATTATAGTTTTACAAAATGTTACTACTTGGGGGGAACGGAGTAAAGTGTATTCTAGATTTCTAGATTAATTCTTAAAAATGCACTTAAGTATACAACTACATAGTGCAATGAAATTTCAACTTATAAAAAAAAAAAGCTTTGCCTGCCAAAAGATGGACTAGATGATTGCTATTTCTTTCACCTGTAAGACCTGCAATGCCCACGGCCTCCAAAGCCAGTCTTTCCATGGTGTCACACAACAGCTTCAAAAGCCAAAGCAGAATTAAACTTTTGGCAAAGACAAACTAAGAAAAGAAGGCACTATTTCACTGAATTTTACTCAAAGCTAGACACTTTGAGTTCCCTCTGAAAATTATTCTAATTGTGTTTTATTTCATTAAACTGACTTCTGGCCAAAAGATAAAATAGAAAAACATCCTCTCCCACCGATATTCTCTCCCTATATTTATGTGATATGCATACATATCTATGTATTAATCTTTTAATTTTAAATCTTCCCAGAAAGGTCAGTACCCTCGTGGATTACACTAGCCCTTTGCACCAGCTCCCAGATGGTCTGCTGTTACTGGAACAGGAGACAGTATTGTTAGGGGCTGGGACAGACCCTAGGCCAGAGCGTGACCTTGGCCACTTGAGCCTCACTGTTCCCATCTATAGAACGCGAATGTGGCACTCCTTCAAGCACGCAGGGGGACGATCTGTGTGCCTGGCACTAGTATGTACCGGTTACTTCCCTTTTCCGTCTTTCCCCGTTTCCCTTAGTAACAAAAGAACCAAGTTCATTTCAGGTTCACCTGGCCACAAAGCACTCACTCGCTCCCTTGGAATCCCCTCCTCATTGACGTCAGTAGGTAACCCAGAACGATCCCAGCCTGGACCCCTCCAATTTCAAACACAGCACAACCCACCCCTCCCTCCCTCTAAAGGAAAACAGATTCGCCTCCGGATACCGCCACCTGCCCGGTAGCCCTGCTCCAGGGCACCTGGGCGCCCGCCTGCCTCCAGCTGGTACTATTATTACTGCGGGTTCACAACAATATCTAACGGTGCGCGGGGTGACCGCCTCCTAAATGATGTCTCCGGAATCCTCCAGGCAGCCCAAAGCGCTTCCGTTGCCAATTTCTGGCTAAAATCCCCAGGAATATATAACCAGCTTCCCCAATGGGGGAAAAGCAAGAGTTGTGAAGTTTCCGGAGTCGTCCGGTAGAGCCGATGCTGTCCGTGACTGGGGGGTGAGGGGACCGAGGGTCACGACTGGAGGGCCCCGGAGGTCAGCAGCCAGGTCGCTGGGGTGGGAGGATGCCCGCTTCTCCGCTGACCGCGCGGGAGGCGACCTGCGCCCCCAGCTCGGCGGAGCAGCCCCAGTGCGTGGGGGGAGGGCCCGGCGCCGCACTCACCTTCGGTGCTTCTCTTGGCCTCCCGGTACCGTTCCCACAGGTAGTGCT